CGTATTCGAAAATTAAGGAAACTAAATATGAATCTAGCATTTTAGGAAATCGAATATCTTATTACATTAAATTCTGCAAAATTTAGAATACATATTCTATTTTTTCCAAACTATAATCTTGGAATCAAAAAAATATACCAGATTACCAATGTTTTGGAATGAATCAGATTGCATTATGTAGTGTTGTTTGTTTAACAAAGTAAACCAAAATTGATGTTCTTAAAAATGATAAAAGTGTAGATAAGACATACATATTTTGTTCTACAAAATTATGAATTTATAGCCGAGACACACCCATACAAACTGAAACACAAGTATTTTATATTGGAAAAAAAGAGACATGAGTTCACAAAAACACAAGTATTTGATTCATATAACAAGATCGGACCGGTTGAATCATTTCAATTTTGCATTCATGCATGTGCAAACAAAAATTAACAAGTAATTAAAGTCACACCAATTGAAGCTAATGCCTCCAACAAGATCGAATTTAATTACTTTAAGTATGGCATAATCGACTTTTTCGTTTCGGTTCGGTATTGTACCGCGGTGGCTAAAAGGAATTTTGCTTTTTTTTTTTAAACAAACCAAATTCATTAACTTTAAAAAAATACCCTTACACAGAGGAATTAGTTAAAGAGAGTAATGCAGACTTTGCCAAACAATCGGCAAGCTGATTCTCCATACGAGAAACATAAGTAAATCTGATAGAAAAAGAAAAGAAAATGAATTTTGCTTCTGTTTTATGATGCAAGACGTTGAGCCATGGGAAGGTAGGTAAACGGGAGGAAATTTCAGAATTAAATATATTTATTTAAAAATGCAATTTTTTAATTATGAAGATTAGGGATATAATAGAAATAAATTTATTACAAAGGTTTAGATCACTAAACTTTAACAACCAATGTATATATGGACAAACTCTAAAAAAAAAATCATTTATTTCTAATTTTCTTTTTTTCGGATAAACCCATAATATTTCCTTAAGCTCTGCAACGAATTAATGCATGTAATTTATTTTCTCACACACGTGTACAAAAACAACGATACATAAAACATCAGCTTGACTCACAACAAAAAAAAAAAATTGAGTCATGTGTATGAGTTGTCAAAAAGAATTTGGGATTCACAAAGCTGTTTGGCACTACGGTGATGTTTAAAATAAGCAAATAATATGATACTACTGTGAAACATGTAATCCATTACAACAGATAAAAGATTACCGTTTAATATAAATTTTTATTTTGGCTTACTCTGCCCCTAATATTTCT